AAGCTCATGTATATTTTGCTAAGCAAAAAATGAAAGTTCGTTTGGCAACGCAAATGCTCAGTAGATCTGTAGCAGATGCATTAGAATTTTGCAGCACGGAATTGAAACTTGATGGGTTTGAAGACTGTGATGGAACAATACAGTTCTTACGTCTTATAAACGACGTGTTCGACATTTTGAACAGCTACTCCATTAGACCACCAGGCTGGAAAAAAGCTATGTGCCCCGAAAACATTGGATTAATTAATGCCCTTTTTGAAGGGGCCACCAGTTATATTAACGAATTAAAGTTCCCATCGGGACTTTTAGTTGTGGAGTCGAAACGAAAAACTGGGTTTATTGGGCTTATAATTAATATGAAAAGTGCCTTAGATGTTTTTCAGTACTTAGTCTCAAAAACAAAAATGATGATGTATTTTCCTGTTTATAAAGTGAGCCAGGATCATGTAGAATTATTCTTTTCTGCTATTAGAGCCCGTGGTGGATTCAATAATAATCCAGACGCTGTTCAGTTCAGAGCTGCAATCAAACGTCTCTTGATAAGAGCGGAGATTCGCGATGGTGGCGTGGGCAATTGCATTCCTCTTGAAGAGGTGAACATTTTAACGTGTTCAAGCAGAACTGATCCTGTTAAAAGTATTAATGGTTTAACAAATAAAAAGTCTTTAATAGAAGTACCGGAGGATGACAGCAGTTTATTCGAGGAATACCTAGACTGCCTTAATAATAATGTCACAAAATATGCAGAAAGTGTTGTGACGTACATCGCAGGCTTTGAAGCCAGAAAATTATCCCGCACCATAAAATGTGTAACTTGTGCGTCAATGTTATTTGGCGATGTGAAAGCAAAGTCATTGATAGCATATACAAATCGAGGTGGCCTCGTCTATCCGTCTAAAGACGTTGAGGATCTTTGTAAAATGACAGAAAAAAATTTAAAATTTAATTTTAAGAAAACAAATTTTGAGAAATTTTATTTGTATATTTTTTCTTTTCTCATCGAAAATTATGGCGAAAATAATCAAGGTTTTGAGACTGATTCGAGCGATCATGATGCCAATCATAAATATTTATTAATAAAGAGTGTAATTAAAACATATATTGATATAAGGTTTAGATATTTTGGAAGGAAAAGTACGGAAAAAAATTCGTTTAGAAATTACTTAAACAAAATTGTTCTTTTTAGAAATGAATAATGTTGAAATGAAATGAAATGAAAAGTCATTTATTCAGTCTAGGCTGTTACAAGCACTTGTGAAGGTCAGAAGCTACGCCATCGGTTCGCAAAACTACGGCGGGAGACCTTGTACTGAGAAGAACCGGCAAGAAACTCAGCAAGGGCTGCTTTTTTCTCCCTGTATTGATATATACAGAGTCGTCACGTTGAAAAATGACTTAAGAGATACTTCTGAAGTCACCTTCCATCATTTAGGATATAGTTATATACAGTTACAATAATAATTTTATATTTAGTATATAGGAAGCGGCATTAGATAGGTACCATAATACTGTTACAAAAACTGACTAATACCCATCAAATAACAAATTACAAGAAACACTATGTCCATGCATTACGATCTTTTAGATAATCATTAACTTTATAATAGCCCTTATTCATAAGAGAATTCTTGATCTGAGATTTAAATTTGATTAGTGGAAGCTCAATCAGGTCTTGGGGAACTTTGTTAAACAATGCAATACTACAACCCAGAAATGAACCTCTTGATTTTTGGAGTCTGAAACATGGAACGGCAAGCTTGTTCTTAAATCTCGAGTTAAAGTTATGGGTTTGACTTTTTTTTGCAAATGCGTCATAGTTTTTTCTTACATATATTATATTTTCATAAATGTATTGCGATGCCAGTGTTAAAATATTAATTTCTTTAAATTTTTCTGTAAGAGATTCTCTTGCCTTTAAATTATATATGGCGCGAACAGACAAAACAAAGATAAGACTGTTGTTTGTTGAAATATTTGATACACCATAATGCTTCATTTTATTTAACAATGTTTCATGGCTAACGCAGTCAAACGCCTTTGATAAGTCGCAAAAAATGCCAATAGCATCGTGCTTACTCTCCCATATATTAAAAATGCGTTTGAGAAGTGCAGTTCCAGCATCAGTAGTACTTTTGCCTCTAGTAAAACCAAACTGTTTTAAATGAAGTAGCTTATTTATAGAAAAGTGTGCTAGTAATTGGTTATAAATTATTTTCTCAAATACTTTACTTAGCGCTGGTAATACAGATGTAGGTCTAAAATTGCTGGGATCTGATATGTCACCAGCCTTAAAGAGAGGGATAATTTTAGCACATTTCATTAGATCTGGAAACACTCCCTCATCAATACATTTGTTAAATATAATGGCCAGTTGTGGCGCAATGACAGCGATAATCTGTTTTATTATATATGTTGATATTCCCCATAAATCCTCTGTCTTTTTAATATTAATAGAATTAAATGTTTTTATTATACAATCATTACTGATATGTCTAAAATGAAAATCATTACTGCACTTATCAACACTTGACTCAAGGAGGGTCATTGCTAACATAGAACAAGAATTAAGATTTCTAGTTGATTAAAAAACGGAGCACTAGAAAAGAAATTTTCAAAAGTGTTGGCAACGGCATCATCTGTCCGAATAATCTTGTTGTCTATTTTTAAAGAATATGTGTGTTCATTAATTTTTTTTCTTCCAGTTTCATTATTAATTATATTCCAAGTTGTCTTTTTTGTGAAACTTTTGAATGTAAATATATAAATACAGATTTTTATACTTATAACACCTACTTATTTTAATACCTACCTATTTTATCTCTTTTTTTTCTATTCTGATATACGTAATCGTGTTAAATAGTCTGTTTAATGCGTTTCTGTAAAACTATTTATACTGGATTCCTGCCTATCATTTCTTTGCTTGCTCACAACGCGTACAGCATGGGTACTGGCGAACCCTACCACCTTACTAGTGGTATTGAATATAATCCCCGCGTTAACCGAATTGATTTTTAAATATTGCTAGTATTTAATCTCTATACTTGCTGATTTTCTTACAATGTTTTCCTTCACTAAAAAGGAGGTAACGAACTGCACATAAAAAGCTAACATATTAAAATAATATGATACTTAAAAGCGAATTTTTTTCTTTTTATTCTTTTCATTAATGTTCTTGGCATATTTTACTTTTCGCTATATGCGGAGGATCTTACTATATTTTATACTATCAGTACCTAATCATGAAAATCATAAAAAAAATCAGCGTGATTTTAATAAATATTGAACTGAACGTAGTCTCAATAAATTCGAAAAAGTGTAAGTTAATCAAATTAGAGAATTAAAGACAATTAGATGCTAAAATATAACGTATAAATATAATATATTAAGTTTTATCGATAGATATGGCGCAATCGATAAGTGTTAAATACCATCGTGGTAGTATACAACACTAAGCCGCCATGTTTAGCTGCGTAGGTATGCACGTTTTTTTCGTAGGTATGATAGTTCCATAGGTTTCCTTGTTCAGAGCTCCACCTACATATAAATAGTTTCATCACTTTTAATTTATAATCTCTTTAATAATATATGTAAGATAAAACTATGACTTATGCAAAAAAAGTCATACCCATAACTATAACACGAGATTTAAAGACTCCAAAAATCAAGAGGTTCCACTAACGAAATTTAAATCTCAGATCAAGAATACTCTCATGAATAAGGGCTATTATAAAGTTAATGATTATCTAAATGATCGTAATGCATGGACATAGTGTTTCTTGTAATTTGTTATTTGATGGGTATTAGTCAGTTTTTGTAACCGTAATAGTAATGAAAAGTCATTTATTCAGCCTAGACCTTAGATTAAAACAAAAAGGGTAGATACGGCACTAGCCTCACAAAAGTGATCCGCATGAATTGTGGTCCACGACCCTAATCGCTTTAGTCACAACTTGACATGCAAACGACGTATATGTGAACGTCAAAAAGAAATATTGCTAATATTTTGTGTTTATATGATAAAACAATGCCTACTTAAGTGTGTTTTTAAAAAGTGCTCAAATTGCTCAAGAACTAAAAATAAAACCCACGGCATCACTTTTCATTCGTAAGTACTATAAAATATATTTTTTTCATAAAAATTGCTGTTTGTTTTAAATCTTATTCGGTAGTGACGTCGAGTACTGGTCGCGTGATTGGTCGGTAGTGCAGTGACGCGGATCTCGCCGTCTCGTTCGCGCTGCCTTTGAAACTTAACGTGCATCAGTTTTTGTTTGATGCAAGTATGAGCGTACCGTATCTACCCTTTTTGTTTTAATCTAAGGCCTAGACTGAATAAATGACTTTTCATTTCACCTAAAATACGTTTCATTCAATACAAACTGAGGAGCTGGCGAACAAAACGAACGGTATAATTACGCATCTGGCCAAATTACTTTTTCTTAACAGTCTGGAGTTTTCGGGCCAGTTGAATTTGAAACTCAAATAATTTTCAATCAAAACCGCCTAAAACAGTGTTAAAATTACTAAATTTATATATTAAAAACCATGCCAAAAGCTCACTGGAGGTATGCCATTCAGTTTTATACCATTTCTGTAAAATTTAATTTTATGTAATTAAACCATTTTGTGCGCCAGCTCCTCAACTGTGAATTTGACAATTCAGGACTTTCATATTAAATTTTATACATTTTATAATATCCTGCTTTTATATCCAGATTGAAGTAAAAAAAAAAATTAAACGTCCAATCTTGCTATTTTAGGCACTAGGCTTATCAAAATCTTTGGATATGAAAATGTAGCATTAATGAATATCCAATACCACAATTTGTATATGTGATATAATGATTATCACGATTTTTATCGCGTCAACTGTCCTACTCCAAAGTAATTGGACTATTAAGCGTGAATCAAACGTGTTATATAATATATCATATCGCGGTGCTCATAATCAAATAAAGGAAATACATACACACAGTCAGGTCATAAGTATTGTCACACAGTAAAAACTTTTCTTTTGGAATGCTTACCGCAAAAAAGTTTATTGAATTCGAATTTCGAATTGTTCATGAAAATAAAAATGTATACTTTTTAGAATGGACGCTTAAAGAAGACCGTGTTGCAGTTATTGCGTTATATCGTTGCGGTTACGCGCCAATTCAAATTTTTGACATACTGAAAAATTTGAATATAGCCAAAAGATTCGTTTATCCTACCATCAAACGATACAATGAAGACTCTGGTGTAGATGACAGGTCAAGAAGTGGTCGCCCTCGGTCTGTTAGGACTCCAGCAGTGATAAAAGCTATGAAGGCGCGAATTCAAAGAAATCCCAAACGTAAGCAGAAACTGTTGGCCCTTCCGATGGGGTTAAGCAGTACCACGGTAAAAAGGGTGTTAAATGAAGACTTAGGGCTTCGGGAATATCGAAGAAAAACAGGACATCGTTTGAATGCTCGTCTAATGGACCTGAGACTGAAGAGATGCCGCGCTTTGTTGAAGCGGTACGCGGGAAAAAAATATCGGGAAATTCTTTTTCGGATGAAAAAAGTTTTACCGTAGAAGAGAGCTACAACAAACAAAATGATAAGGTGTACGCACACAGTAGTGAAGAAGCGAGCAACCGTGTTGCGCGTGTCCAACGAGGTCATTTTCCATCCTCGCTCATGGTATGGTTGGGAGTTTCATATTAAGGCTTAACAGAGGTACATTTTTGTGAGAAAGGTGTAAAAACGAATGCAGTTGTATATCAAAATACAGTCCTGACGAACCTTGTGGAACCTGTTTCTCATACCATGTTCAATAACAGGCACTAGGTATTCCAACAAGATTCAGAGCCAGCTCATAGAGCGAAGAGCACACAAGACTGGCTGGCGGCGTGTGAAATCGACTTCATCCGGCACGAAGACTGGCCCTCCTCCAGTCCAGATTTGAGTCCTTTAGATTACAAGATATGGCAACACTTGGAGGAAAAGGCGTGCTCCAAGCCTCATCCCAATTTGGAGTCACTCAAGACATCCTTGATTAAGGCAGCCGCCGATATTGACATGGACCTCGTTCGTGCTGCGATAGACGACTGGCCGCGCAAATTGAAGGCCTGTGTTCAAAATCACGGAGGCCATTTTGAATAAACTTTATTGTCATAAGAATCTATGTTTTGTTAAGTTTATTTTGGTGTATAAATGGTTACATAATGAATAAACTTGTTTCAATTATTTGATATTAAACATGTGACAGAATTTATGACCTGACTAGGTATATACTATTTATATTATATTAAACTTCAAGAAGTTTCTAACATAGCTCCTCATGACATAATGCATTTAAGCTGAAGTTGAGAATATAAAAAAAATATGTAGTATTAGGAAATCACTAAACTTTTAAAATCATGAATATAAAAATTGCTTCCTTAGTTGATTCGAACTCGGGTCGCCCGCGTAGCAGGTGAGCTTTCTACCACTGAACCAACGATGCGTTTTGATCAGAATTTTTCAAAAATAATTAAAATAGTATTCCGATATGCTTAAGATAAACGAAAACTTTCGTTACGATGCAATAAAAGCTTCATTTAAAAAAAAATATTACTATAAAACAACGATTGCATGGACTGGTATTAAAAAAAATAGCTCTTATAGAATAATTTAAAATCAACAAAATATCTTAAATAAGGTTTCACAAGTGAGGAGCTCGATGGCGCAAGTGGTTAGCGCGTTCGGCGTTCGTTCGTTGAAGTTAAGCAACTTTCGCAGTGGTCGGTCATTGAATGGGTGACTAAAAATTTACTATCTCGAGCTCCTCCGTGCTTCGGAAGGCACGTTAAGCCCTTGGTCCCGACTGAATCTGCAGTCGTTAACACCCACCAATCCACACTGGGGCCGAGTGGTGGGTCATGGCCCAATCTCCCTATTCCTTACATAGGGAAGGCCTGTGCCCCAGCAGTGGGGACATTAATAGACTGATGATGATGAAGGTTTCACAAATTGCGAATGTAATGTTATTTGCCTCTGTAACCACTTAAGTGATTTGTTCAAAATACACACGCACGCACAGTACATTTTTTATGAATAGATAATATTGTATGTATTCCTTTAAGACTGCTAAGATACGTATAAAACTTAGATAGTTCATTAGTCTTACAACTTAACAAATGTACTTATTTCATGATGATATATTTAAGATCATTTAAGAATTATCTATGATTCAATTAGACAATAATATAGTATACGAAGCTAAAATACTAAAACTTCCCTTTAACTAATGGTTTCGTTTTATCTAATTTATTAGTTAGTGGTCCAACTTCGCTTTCTTTTAAGTTCCAATGAAAGTATTTTAACACTGAAATTCTACTTAATCCAGATCATTGTATGATGAAAATGAGTCGAATAAATGTAATGACTTCTAACCTGTAAGTATATCTACTCAAGTTGTATTTTATGTGGCTTTGGCCTATAACTTTAATAAGTGTTACCCATTTGCCTAAAGAGACAAATCCATAGAAGTATTTACCAACTCACGTTTTCAATTACAATAATTACAGTATATTTCTGATGCTATCTTACCGTTTTGTTGCTTTATTTATTTTAAATTTAAGTACCACAAATAAGGACATCTGGAAACTTAGTACCAAAAGCTTAAAGCTCACAGCTCATTAGAAACAACCGGCACCGCCTCGTCGAGCTACGTCCACTCGTGATAGAGAAGCAAACGCAAGTGGACGTCTGCTTTATCAACCACCAAACGTCGGGTAGTCCACGGGTGGACGCCTCGTTATCAACAAGTAAACGACAGGCGGTGGTGTCTCCGCGTTGTAAGCGAAAATTATGTGTGTTAGAGATAGTCCCTAGGTTTACACGAGTGTTATCACAATGTTTCATTATACAAACCGTGAATCTAATCTAATAAAATTGTCCCGCTTGATGAAGAAATTTTTTTTTTTATATGAGGCTCAAGAAATTACCCTACCCAACCTGGTGTTAAATGCAAGCCGCGTTGTCAACTCGCAGGCAGCGCGATCCACTCAGGAGCACGGCATTTACAACCAGCGTTCAGCACACGGCAAGCGTGCGAGCAATGGGTGGTCACCGAGTTGTCCACCCGCCCGCACGCGGACAGGTTGTGAGCGAGGCGATCCGATGACAGTACGGAATCGATGTATGGAGCGTATACCCATAGAAATCCGTAAAAAAAATATCAACCGCACGAGTTGATGCGGTGTTAGTCGGGTACCGGGTGGGTCTAATGAGCTGTGACCTCTAACCTGGTAGATATTGCTTTTGCATAATTACGTATGACAGTGTAGGACACGAATGGTATAATATTTTCTAAAATCTATTTTTACAATTGTTTATTCCTGATTAAGACAGTAAGACATTATTAACCCATAAATAAAACTCTACTTTTAACGTATTAATTCTCAATAGTCAGTAATTATAAAGCTTTTGCTATTCACGGATGTGCGGTTCCCAGAAGTTTTCCTGTTGCCCGTTGCCTTTAGAAGCAGGCTGGAGGTAATTATTGGTTCAAAGACAACACACATAAAGAGCATAAGTGTCGCCCGTGGCAGCGCAACGCGTAAATTAAGCGTTTTTATTGCGCCTCCGTACCTCTATTTTTACACTTTAACTATTTTTACCGAGTTAGTGGGCACGCCGCACGCGCCGCCCCTCGGCTTTTTATCCCGTCGTAAAGAAGCATGTAGACGGGTAAGTTATCTGCGGGATTATTATTAGAATGGAGATATGGCCCTCTTGTTTTGACAGTACCTACCCTCCTGTGGCTATATTTTCATATTCTGTATATAAGTAGATAATTGGACGAAATATGTATTATGTAGTTGGTTATTAATGCATGTATTTATGAGCTTTTAGACATCGAGCGCCATGCATCATTTTATAAGAGAGTATATTAGACATAAGGTAAGTATGTAAGTAAATTAAGCAAGGCGTCATCATCTTGGTAATTTATAAACAAATGTTCAGTTAACGAAAATTCTTAAACTTCACTTCACTGATTACTTACTTGCCTGTACCTGCGAGAAGGAGAGCTCAGAAAATTAAGTTTTTAAAAATATGCTCAAAGAAATTGCATCCTGCCCTTAGTTTCTTCGACTAAAACCTCGTAGATTCATATATTACAGCAGTTGCCTGATAATAACTCAGACAAGGACTTATTAAAGACAACACAATGTTCTCTCACAAAGCACGATGAAAAAGATTGTTAGTTTTTTAAGAGCGTTGCTCCCGATCCCACCTGCCACTGTCGCGTGCCCACATTGTTCACTTCAAAAAAAACTGTACATGTTAGAGACATAAGGTTGAAAATTGTCTGTTTCCAAAAAGTGCAAGGAAGTTTTTAGAGAGTTTTTTAAGATAAAAAGTACGATGCTATCTCACTCTAGCGCAGTGCATCATAGCTAGCAGTCGGCAGGATGTTTAGTTTGTTATCTGGCACACGCCGCACCTTGCCCCGGCATCGGCAGCAGACCCTCAGTTCCACCTCACGTCGATAAATTAGGCAACAATGAGATCTGTGTGGCGACATTTTCGCAGGCAAACAACCAAGTTTGCCGAAGCAGGTGCTTTCTTGTTTGTCGTGTTATCAAGAATCAATAGCGTTAATTAAAGCAAATATCCACAAATGTAGCCGATTATATCACATCCTATCTCAGCAGCAATGTTGATTTATAATGTTTTAAGAACGCGCCATTTGGCAGTAAATTAGACGAAATGCGACTGGATCAAATAAATATTACATAATTATTTTCTCGGTAGTAGTTCGGTTGTTAAGGGCTGAAAATTTACCTTTTTAAATTTGAACGCTATTGAAGTACTGCTAATGGTTTATTATGTAAAAAATATTAGCTTTTCGGTCTCATTTTCAGTATAAACTTTAATCATTATATAATAAAGTCGCTTAGTGTAGTTATTTTTATTTTTTATGTAGTGATAAAATATATGACGACCTCCGTGGCCGAGTGGTCTGTACGCCGTGTTTCATGGTGTCGCCGACTCGAGAGGTCCCGGGTTCGAATCCCGGTGGGGGCAGATGTTTGTGTGATGAATACGAGCATTTGTACTCCAGTCATGGATGTTTCATATGTATTTCTATATAAATATACTTATATATGTACAGTATATGTATTCTATCCGTTACCCTAGTATCCCATAACACAAGCCTTTACAGTGCTTACTTTGGGGCTAGGCTAATTGGTGTGAGTTTTGGAAATATTTATTTATTATTTATTTATTCATTTATATATAAAATATTACCGATTTGTTTATGAAAAATGTTTAATTACTTTTTGTTTGTTAAAATTATAGTTAAGCATAAGGATTATAACAGTGTTAAGTTTACTCTCACTGAATATAACATCAGCAAGGCACTATTTTTATTTAATAATTTGTGGATAATATTGTGGGTTCCACTATTACCTTAGATTTTACGGTACCATGGTACCACATATAATAGTCTTAAGTCATAAAACACATTATTGTAACTGTTTTTTATCCCTTAATAAATAAAATGAAAATAAAATAAAAATGATGAAAAATCTTACACTCCTGGTTTTTTTTATAGGTATCAAAGTTTTTCCTTGATTATATTTCAATGGCTTCAGCTCAATTTCGACATGGAGTGAAACTAAAGGCGATTAAAGAAAAAGCTTTAATTGGAATAAGATAAGTATATAGAGCACAGTGGGTACTCTATCTTCGGCATCAGATGAGAAGCGTGATCCATTTCAATGATTGATGGACATTCGACCCTTATCGACTGCTCTTCTTCCGTTATAATTATAACTTCATGAGTATCACCATTATGTGATTGTAATCAAACATTTTGCTACCTAGGTATATTTATCGCATTCGATTCTTCGATAGTATTCTTGATCGCAGATTCGTAACTCGAATAATTAATAAAGTAAAAAAAAAAACCGGCCGAATTGAGAACTTTTCCTCCTTTTTGAAGTCGGTTAATAATACGGCCATATCATATTCACGTCATTTCCAATGTCGGAACTGTAGCGATGTCAAATATAAATACGTGTATCACATACAAAGAATAGTTATATAGGGCATACCCAGAGTAGGACATAGGAACTAAAGCGCCCGTTTGGGGGAAGTTACCTTCACCTCACAAAATATATAAGTTGCGATTAACGTTCTTTTTTATGAAATAAATATAGTCTTATACTTCTTATCATTTCTTTACTTTTTGTCCATAGTTTTGTGGATCGGTGTTTTCTTGTTACGTTTTTACTACCGATGCACACAATTGAAAACGACTCTTCTTTGGAGAACTCTTAATAAAAACTTAAAAAATTGTTTAAATTCAATAAATTTTTGTTCATTTTAATTATCATGAAACGCACTCTTCGTAGGTATAACTTTGATAATTGTAAGTTTTATAGTTTTTTGCTGCCCAGTGTATAAAATAGACTTACCACAGTGAAACCTCCTCGTGATATGCTGTTTCTGTAAGTGAATTACGTTTCCAAGACTTGCTTGGATCAGACCGGCAAAGTCAGATATATCAGTAGCGACAAACTTTCATGCCATATGATATCTTTGCAGCTGCATTATTCACGACTCGCGCTTAACAGCAGAGGGCCGAAGCCGAGCACGAATTTTGACAGTTCCGTAATTATATCGTCATCGTCAAATGTTGTATGAAAGGTTTGTTTTTACGTCCAGGAGTGGGGCGCTGCTTAGTTTTCAAAGAAACTTTGACGACTCGATACAATTAAGGGTTCTGCAAAGTGGACATCAAAAGTGTATCAAATTGCTGCACTATTAAAAAAACTTATAGTAATTCGATTATATAAATTCTTTTTTCGAGCATTTAACTGCTAGATGATTAAATCTAAAGAAAATTTTACTAGAAAAAAAATCTTTATGATAATTTGATGTTTTATTTCCAAAAGACTTAATTAAGGTATTGTTGGAAATAAAATTTGTATCGATGTGTATGGAACACAACCTAGTGTGTATAGTGTAAATGTCATTGATATAGTTGATATAATGGAACACTCTCTCTCTGAAATAAAATATGGCTACGATGAGTTGAGTTTTAATTGATCTCTTGTAAAAAGTAATAAGTAAAGTACTTAATAGAGTTTAAATGCCCTAATGGTTTTGTGCAAACTTCAACAGATATACCTAGCAACATTAGCCGTCATGCCATAATAAAAGGAGATATTTATTTATTTAACTAAGTATTGATATAATTGAAAGCCACAACATAGTAAGAAATAATAGATGTTAACTGAAATATACCTCATCCGAGTTAAATTGCAACACTAAAATGAATTTAGGGTTGTAGTGAAAGTGATGGCTGTGAGACTTTCTTTGTTTTGCGTGAAAGTGGTTGTCGCCCCCCGCCCATCCCCCTCAAAGGGACCAACTCTTTGAAGCCGTGAAACCACAATTAAGCCTTCCCGAGGAGAGCTCAAGGACACATCACTTTGCTCCGACGAAATGAAAGGAATCCGTAAAATTCGCCAACACTTTTACTCTCTTTTCATTGCGCGATGGTTAATAGGCAGACTTGTATTGTTTGTAGCGCTTATTCAGAACACAAAAGGAACCCCTTTTAGTGCCTACGTAACCGATTGTAAAACATATAGCATGCGAATCTTAAGCTTTTTATGATGCCGACGGGTCGCTTTGAATGATAATAACTAATGGGTTATCTAGTAGGTACGCACATAATGGGTTTTGGAAATGACCTTATAAAATGTACGAAGTTTATTTATTTGTTATGGTATTAAGAGTGGCATCCTGTTACTTTTTCAATTTTGCTATTGATGAGACATTAGTTTTGGAGTTAATATGAATGAATGATTTATTTATTTCTCTCACAAAGTCACAAAGTAACATTATAATTACAAAAGGGTATTGAATTACAGTAACGGTAATTTAATATGATACAATTACCTATAATAATATGATAATCAATTAAGTTTTAACTAATTCGGTAAGCCGTTGAGTAAGTATACCTTTTAACGTAGGTAATCCAATATCAAAGTGGAATAAAAAATAGATAATTCCAATTTTAAGGTCCTACATGCATGCAAATGCTACCGATACCCTGCTTCTTCGATTATATTGGACGAACTTTAATAAGGCACACATCGTCTTGTTTTCTTTTTTAAAGACTGTAGTAATGTTTGGCGGATATTATGACAAATATTTTTAACTTGAGTGCAAAACCATGAGATATCAGATCCAGAAAGCGTCAATATGATGATTAAAAAATCATCGAATGTTAATTGATACTTAGAGTAAGGCTAAAACACCTTTTGTAAAAACTTATATCTTTCGTTCGATTCACACTACGGTATTAAAATTAAGATACGTTACAATGAAGCCCATCATATATCTATTATTGCTTTAAGAGTACGTCTCCATAAAACAATCCAAACTTGCTGTCAATATAAGTTAGCAGCAGCTTCTAGGATCGAATACTTACAATTACATAACTGTATCTTTCTAAACACGACTTCGAGTCTTCCACCTAAATATATCTTATCTATCTATAAGTACTAATCGTCTTAAGTAGTTGCAATAAAAGTTTTCTAATCTTATTGAATACTTTCGTCCTAAACTCGGAACTACAAGGACAGGTTATAATTCCGGTAATGGATACGCACTTTTTAAATAATAAAATATCTAACTACGGTTCAAGGGTGCACAGATAACGAATGATACAAATGTGTTCGTATTCAATGTCAAAACGTCACGTTAAAAGGGAAAGTAAACAAAGGCACCGATACACGGAACAAAGACACCGTCATGCGAAAACATTTGTCCTATTGCGTTGAGTATACACAATGCGAATATTATGCCATTTCTCGAAGTAGAGCACAACCCTGTTTTACGACGTCTGCATTGTCCGTCAGCAGGCAGAACCTTGCTAAACTTTTTGCAGTAGTAGTCACAATAATGGTAGCCGCCCAAATAATCGTTAAGGCCGTACTAAAAATACGAGGCCACTAATAAAGAAACCGGAGAAAAAATTAACACTTTGTCTTAATGTGCAATCGTTATTTTCAATGTTTCTAAAAGTACCTTCTTTTTTTTTAACTGAGTATGTTTACTAATTCGAATTAATAGTGAAGCGTATGCATACGTAAATCTCAATTATTGTTTTTGAATACGTCCTTTAGGGCTCCCATCCCTTCCGTGCGAACGACAGATGTGTGTTAGCGCCGAAATTACAAAAATTTGTGAATATTTCATTCAAATAATTGTGCGTTCGGCCGTTACGAATCAAACGAACACAATGAATTCCAGTTTTAGCTAGTTTTTTTTTTGTAACGTGCGAGTGTGATTTTAATGTAGATTCCGGGTAAACTTTTGCACAATGTCTGGTTTCGCCGTTTTATAACGAAAGGGCGTTTGATCAAGCTTCAAAATCGCAAACAATCTTATGATTGATTACGAACTAGTTTGTTTAGATTGACGTGCCTATGATGGGTGAGACGGTTGTATTAATTATTATAACGTTTCTATTAACAACTTGTACATTTTTAATTACTTTGAAATGGCAAAATGCATTGTGTAATAGAATTTTTTTAGGCATTGCATTTTTCCCAAAATGGCAAAACCGGATTTTGTCATAAAGTGTCAATGTTGCTCTGAAGTAATAATTATGTTGCGGTTTGTTCATATACCTTTTGTTATGCTCTTGAAAGTACACAATTTTGGATTTAGCGTATATAATAAAATCCGGTATAACTTCCCATCTTTCCTGCGCTCATAAGAAATTCTAATACGTTGATTTCTGTATTGTTCCGGTAGATTGCGCAGGTGAGAGCTGACGACAATCGTTCGGGAATAAAGCATAAAATATCGTCTCCAAAGGATTCTCATTGAATATTTATCCCTGCCAGCGAGGCCCTGTCCGAGCGCCCTTTATTCTCGACGGCCGTTTAAACTTTTGATTCTGCAACTGGCAACAGTCAACTGGACCCTCTGAATCGACTAAAATGCCCGACGTTTTTACTGTGGTCACGTAAATAAGCCTTATGGATATTACACATAAGGATGCAATCGTATTGTTCCTTTTCGGGCGGTTGAGTCGTTCGGATGGCGGCAGGTGGCTATTCTATGCTTGCGTCACGAGCTCTCCCCTTCCGGGTGTGATGAATAATTCCCTTTTTCTCCGGGAATTGTCCTTGTGAACTATCCCGGCGACTCGATACGCA